ATCACTGCATTGCTTTCAAGGAGTTTGCAGACTGTCTGTAGTTACCAGGTGGTTCTTCTTTTCTTTCCTTGAGGATAGGGACAGGGTTTCCTTGCCCTTTTCCAGTCAACTGGCACTTCTCCTGTCCTCCATGATTTCTCAGAGATAATGGACAGTAGTTCTGACAGCTTTTCTGCCAATAAAGTGAGACGTATCTTTCTATGATGGAGTGCATTGAGATTTGAACTGAATCAACCCAATTGGATGATCCTTGACCATTTGCCTATCAATCTTGAGCTGCCATCCTGCTCCTTCAGCTTGTACTTCCTCTTCATCAGGAAGGCCACAGATCTTCTTCTGGGGGAAGACTGAACCAAAGTAGGAATTGAGCACTTCTGCATTTTCATTGTCATCTGTTATCATTTTGCCACTCACATTGAGTAGCTGAATCCTCATTTCTTTCCTCTGTCTTTTACACTGGTCATACCTGAAAATGGCCTTTTGTTGCTCTTAGCATTCATTGCCAGCCTCAGTTCATTCGTAGCTTTGGCCTTCCCGATGCCCTCCCTGCAATTCCATGCCATTGGCCTGTATTCTTCCTTTGTAGTCTGGTCTTCCTTCCACTTCATATATACACCCTTTTTGTTTGCAGATCATCTCTAAGCCTTTGCTGAAGCAACATGGGCTTCAGTTGTCTTCTACCCCTTTTTCTTGCTGGAATTGTTTGTAATGGTGCTGTTAGACTTTTCCTTTTAAAAATTCCCACCCATCTTTTCTCATTTTAGTCATTTGCCATGGGATTTTACTTCTCCCATGCTGTTTTCTCAATGGGCAGAGGCATGTAATATAAACTCCTAAAGTATTTCCCAAGTTTTTTCAATTGCTAATCTGCAATATTTTTGAATTATCTCCATAAAAAGGAAGTATTACTGAATATAGGAATAGATAGGGAAAATACTAATATACTATTATATTACTACTGAACCACACAAACAAGTATCTCTCTCCTTCCTGAAACATACTGATCAGTAGCCTTAAGTATTTCTTTTTTCTGCATTACAGCCTTCTTTTTATCAAGTCAAGCATAAGTCAAACTGGAAGCCTTCATGATAGAAGCTGCTACGAAATGCCAACCATATGTTTTGAGTCTTCCCTGCACTTAATGTGGAACTAAAAAGCCACTTCACTTTTAACAAACTTAATGAAGTGTTAAAGTTAATATATTTACCCCTAACTAGCCTCTAGAGAGCAACCTGCATAGCACAAACCGCTTCGATGGCACAGCAGCTTGCAGTCATAACTACCAAGTATTTTATAACCTCTCATGGGTCTATTCATGTTTATGGCAGTGTATTCATGTTTATGTCCATACAGATGTGACATCCAATTTAAGTTCCAGCACAATTCTTAAATGCCTAAACCCTTTCCTTTTAAAGAATAGTGGAATGGAGGGCAATGTCAAAAGGGAAGAAAACCAGAATAATGAAACCATGCCAGGTGGCAGTCAGAATTCCAATGACTCACTCAGACTCCTATCAGAGAACAAAAGCCAATACACATTCTAAAGCTAGGCTGCAAACTTGAAAAGATAAAGGTCCCTTTTTCACCAGACATAAAGGATGAGTGGAAGGTGGCAAAGAAAGAAAGACTAATATTGGGGTGGGGGAGTCAAAGCAGATGCTAAAGAAGAAACTGGCTGAGGCAAGAAGGCAGAAGTTTATTTGTACCATATGTGTTCTTCAAGGTAATAAAGACAACACTTCTCCCATCCTGGCACACACCAACACCCTCTTAATCATGTGCATTCAGTAAGCTACACAAGGTACAAAATAAAATTTATCTAAGATACGTACAAGACATTCTATACCTGCTTTGTAGACCAGTTTGAAGATTTAAACCCAAAGCCTAAATCAATTGTACTATGGATTTTCCTAGCACAGGAGGCTCCTTCATGGATCACTGTCTTGCCATGGCAAGGGGCTTGCGTAGTCCAATGAAGATATGAGCTATGCTGTGCAGGGGCATCCAAGACAGACAGGTCACAGCAGAGAGCTATGACAAAAGATGATCCACTGCAGAAGGAAATGGCAACCCACTCCAGTACCCTTGTGATGAAAACCTCATGGACAGAATCAAAAGCCTAAAAGATATGATGCCGGAAGATGAGCTCTTCAGGTCGGAAGATGTCCAGTGTGATACTGGGAAGAACAGAGAGCAAATAAAAGTAGTGCCAGAAAGAGTGAAACAACAGTGTCAAAGCTGAAAGGACACTCAGTTGTGGATGTATCTCGTGGTTAAGAAGAGGTAGCAAGATTACACAGAAGAACTATACAAAAAAAAAAAAAAAATCTTAAGGCCCGGAAACCACAATGGTGTGGTCACTGACCTCGAGACAGACATCCTGGAGTGTGAAGTGTCATGCCTGACACCTCGGCCAAGACGTCTACTAGCGAGGAAGAGACAGGAGCTGGCAGTGAGAGTTTGGCATTTGACCAAGGAGACTTATATTTGAGAACCAATGCTCAGACGGCCCATACACAGCCTGACTCTCAGGCTGCCGAGCAAGAAACCTCTCCTCCACCTCATCCCTTGGCCCCTGAGCACGCAACCCCCGCACAGACTGAGGGGGAAGTGTCTGAGACAGTTGCTCCCTCTGATTCTACATCTGGACTGCCTGAGAAAGATGCACCCCCAGCTCCAGACCCTGAAGCTGCTGAACAGGGTTCAGCAGAAGAATTAACATCTGCCTGGGACAGAAGAGCCTTGACGAGACAGCCAATTAGAACGAAGCGACAAGGCTCCGTCACACCCTCGGGCAGAAAGATGAGACAGGAAGGTTTGATACCACGTGCTGCTTTCGTAGTGAACTCAGAAAGAGGCAGCAACTGCGATGGGCAGGAAGCTCGTTAGTAGAGCTTATCAGTTACATCGTAAATCTTGTAGAAAGTAGCAATAAAAGTTTATAGCTGATATACGGCCTGCTGTGTGAGTTAATTGAAACGTGAGACTACCTCACGACAGCAGTCAAATGGACATTAGGAGGTCTGAGCAACAACAAAGCTAGTGGAAGTGACGGTATTCCAGCTGAGCTTCTCAAAATTCTAAAAGACAATCCAGTTAAAGTGCTACATTCAGTATGCCAGCAAATTTGAAAACTCAACAGTGGCCACAGGATTGCAAAAGGTCAGCTGACATTCCGATCCCAAAGAAAGGCAATGCCAAAGAATGTTCAAACTACTGCACCATTGCACTCATTTCACATGTTAGCAAAGTTATGCTCAAAATGAAAGAAGTGAATGAAAGAAAGTGAAGAGGAACTAAAGTGCCTCTTGATGCAGGTGAAGGAGCATAGTGCAAAAGCTCGCTTGAAACACAACATTAAGAAAACTAAGATCATGGCATCTGGTCCTTTCACTTCCTGGCAAATGGGTGGGGAAGAAATAGAGATAGTGACAGATTTTATTTTCTTTGGCTCCAAGATCACTGCAGACGGTGACTGCAGCCAAGAAATTAAAAGACGCTTGCTCCTTGGGAGGAAAGCTATGGCAAATCTAGACAGCATAATAAAAAGCAGAGACATCACCCTGCCAACAAAAGTGCATAGTCAAGGCTATGGTTTTCCCAGTTGCAATGTATGGCTGCGAAAGTTGGACCTTAAGAAAGGTTGAGCGCCAAAGAATTGATGCTTTTGAATTGTGGTGCTGGAGGAGACTCCTGAGAGTCCCCTGGACTGCAAAGAGATCAAATCAGTGCATCCTAAAGGAAATCAACCCTGACTGTTCTTTGGAAGGACAGATACTGAAGCTGAAGCTCAAATACTTTGGCCACCCAATGAGAAGGAAAGACTCATTGGAAAAGACCCTGATCTGGGAATGACTGACAGCAAAAGGAGGAGATGGCAGAGGATCAAGTGGCTGGATGGAGTCACTGGTGTTGTGGGTGTGGGGTTGGGTGAACTCCAGGAAACAATGGAGGACAGAGGAGCCTGGCGTGCTGTGGTCCATGGGGTTGCAAAGAGTTGGGCATGACTTTGTGACTGAGCAAGACAACAAGAAGCACATGTGGTATATACATGCGGTATATTTTAAATGTCTGTCTTGCCCAATGATGGTGAAGCTGTGGGAGTGCTATATGTACCTCAGAGCATTAAGAGAGAAAGTGGGAGAGCAATGGCCCCTGACCTCTGCTTGAGGGAAAGGAGTCAGAGAGCAGAAAGACTAGAGAGGAAAATCCTAAACCCATTTTGGGCATTTTTACAAAAAGGACCTTGTGCAGTGAACCAAATTTGAAAGGCCATCTTACAAGCCATTCAGGATCTAAAGTCTTTTGTAGAAAGGCACCCTTTTCAAGACCACCACCCACAGATGCATGCTTGGTGGTGACCTGAGGCCTTTCTACTGGCCACTTCCAGGTTGTGGAACTCCCCACAAAGGGAGGCTAGATTTGCTCCCTCTTTCATGTTCTGCTGCTGGCATCTAAAGACCACTTCGCCCCAAAAGCCCTTTAACCTGCAGCTGAATCTGGTGGGTTTGGTGCTCTTTTAGTAATAGTTCTCTGTAATTGTTGTTTTATTTCTGTTTACTATATCATTTTAATGTATTTTAAGTGGTTCTGTAAGCTACCCTGGGTGCATTTTTGCTAGAAAAACAGTGCACAAATGAAAACAAATAAATAAAATAAAACTTCGGACTGCAGAGGTTTTGGTTCAAATCACCATTTACCCATGAGAAATTTTCTCTCAGTCATATGTACCTCACAGACATCTTTCTGAAAATAAAATGGGATAAGCCCAGCTATGTAATTCTGCATGCAATGGAGGAAAGACAAATGTTATGAATAATGAAAAACATTCAATTTTAAAAAGCAGAATGTTATTGGCTCTTGTTATTGGAACAGGGGAAGCATATACATCTCTGGAGAAGGCAATGATGCCTTACCTCAAGTTACAGCTGATATCAAAAAGTTATTACTATTGCTTAAAAGTTGGAAAGAACAGTGAAACTTGAGTGAGAATCGTTTACCTTCCAGGCAGAGTAATTCTACCATTTGCTGCAGCATAAAGCTTTCCTAGCAGTTTTTCTTCCCAATAAAGGTCGCAAAATTTCTCAGAGATGGCATTACAGAATGTGTTATACTTCAGATCCTTTAAACTGGAAATATATTTACCTGGTTAAAAAAATAGAATTTTTAAACTATACCATATCCTATAATTCATTGCTGTTGCTGTGGTTGTTTTATTGTGTTAGGACAAAATTATGCCAAAAATTACAATGTGTAGTATAGTAATGTAAATAATAAATATAACATGATCTGCAATTATTAAAAAAAAACTCAGATATGGGCTTATAAATCTGCAGTAATGGTACAAGCCACAGTAGAACCTTTCCTTCTGTATAAAACTTTTAAAAGTACACATGATTTCTGGACCTGGATGTATCAACTGTAGTTAAAAATAAACCAACCTCATACAGCCTAAAAGTTCTTGTGATTGGTCTCATCTCCCTTTTAGTTTGCTTTCTTATTTCTACAGTATCAAAATATTCATACATACCCATAGTCAGTGCTTCAGCTGTGTCATCCAGATAATTATTAAATGCAAACTCCTCTTGGATAAGATGCACTACATTCTTCAAGAAAACTTCATTAACCCTACTATCTTGGTGAGAGTTTTCTAAGGCAAATGAACAAGCAGGATTTTGGCCTATGCAAGCGTGCAATTTGTGATCTGGTAAAGGGACTCTGCTTTTTGCATCTTTGTTGGATTCCTTACAAAATGCATGGAATGTATTCCTTTCAGAACACTTTGTTTGAGTCTCTTTATTCATCATAGGTGGAGGTAAACTATTAGACTTGATTTTCATGTCCCAACACTCATTTTGTACATTACTGGTATTTCTCAGATTGTTAGCAGATGAATTATTTTGTAGGTTTTTGTTGGCATCATAGCCCAATACAGAATCTGTAAGGAGGACATGCAAACTAGGACAGCAACTGTAGGCTATTGAATGGAGAGGCTTATTTGGTATTTGCTCTGATATAGCCATCTGCACAGGTACAAGAGTTAACACTCTTGTCTCTGGGTCCTGCTTCAAAAGGAAGTTATTTATAAAAGCCATACTAGATGACATGGTACAGTTTGAATGGCTTGAGGAAGGTGCTTGTGAAATACACTTTTCTTGAGAAACAAATGATGATTCAAAGTATAATGGCAATTCATCCAGCGATGAACTAGTATGGCTTGGAGATTGCTCTTCTGGGTCATTCTGAAGTAATGTTTCCAATTCTTGTTTACCATGCTCCAAAATACCAGACATCATGTAAACAGCTGGCAAATCCGGGCTCTCATCTATCTGGTTTTTAGCATCAATATTTAAGTGCATTGAATTTTTGCTATCCACTTTCTTCACAGTTGTTTCACAGTGTATCTCTGTAGATGCAACGGTATCCCTGATAAATAAGTAACATTTTGTAAACAAGAAACAGTTTTATTAAATTAGTAACAGAAAGATAACAACAAGTTGAACAACTGTGCTTTCCTTTACCTGCATCATGGAACAGCTTTTTCAGTATAGTCTGTTAATGGATACTGCACTTTCTCCAATTTGGATTCCATTCCCGACTACAGTCTGCCCTCACCCACATGCAGGGCCAGCCTCTTTATTGGTTATTCTTGTGTCTCAGCTACAACTACCCTTATTCCCACTTAAACTTTTCTATTCTTTACCCTACAGATCTCTTTCCACCCCTGATATGCCACTGTATTCTCTGGACTTTTCTTCTTGAAGCTTTATGGAGCCAAGTCTCCTCTGTCTACTTCCTTTCAACTGAAAATAATTTCCTCCAAGCCAATTTAAGGTGCTGGTGATGACCTATAAAGCCCTAAATAGCTTAGGGCCTGGTTACCTGAAGGAGCGTCTCTTTCCACATGTGCCTGCCCGCCCCTTAAGATTTGGGGCAGAGGCCCTTCTCTGGGAGCTCTCCTTGAAGGAGATTAGGAAGGTGACTACCTGGAGAACGGCCTTCTCTGTGGTGACGCCCCATTTGTGGAATTCATTCTCCAGAAAGGTTTGCCTGGTCCCATCACTTTATTCTTTTTGCACCAGGCTAAACCCTTTTTGTTTTTCCAAAGTTTTAAGATTTGATTGTTTTAATAGGGGCTTTATTGTTGATTGGAAAAAAATATTAGGATGCTGTGTTTTATTTTATTTTGTCTTATTGTTAAACCATCCCGAGACCATGGTAAGGGATGGTCTAGAAACTTTTAAGTAGATAGATAGATAGATAAGAGTTTCTCTCCTTCCTTGGGATCATATTTGGCAAGCTATGGAAATGGATCTTTTTAGTCACCAGTACATGTCTGTTTTCACTGAATTAGAAAGGTGAGCTAGGTTGGAGGGCCTTACCACTGGTAATCTCTATCTTGATTTTTGCAAATGGGGCAGTGCTTCCTCCAGGCTTGCCAGTTAGTCCTTTCAACAATCTTTGGAAGTAACTGGCACTTGTCAATGCCTGTCATTCTTTGAATGACACTTAGTGTTGTGGAAGCAATGGAAGTGAGGTCTGCTTAAGTTGGAAGTTGTCTAGAAGAAAGCTGGTGCAAGGGTGGGCCTAGCTGGCCTTCCTCATGCAAGGAGAACAGAAATTGAGCATATTTCCCATTTATCCCATTGAGTGTAAGAGACTAGCTAGCTTGGAGTTGTAAAAAAAGCAGTGGCTACCCAGGAGGATCAATGGATCCCTATAGCTGGCCTCCTAGTATGGCAAGAGGAAATACCTGCCTGGCTCTACAAAGAGATATACTCCCAAGAGAATATACATACCAAAGGCACACTCTGCAATGAAAGCAGGTTGATTTTGTTGCATCTGGTGAAGCTGTATACTGATGACTAGAAATCCTCTAGTGGTGCCCTGCACCAAAGGCCAATGAAATGGCTGTCCCCCAGAAATGACCTCCTGATGCTGCTAAATTTTTGGTGCCGTAAGTCAGTGCAATATGCTTGTAGAGCTAGCAAGTAAAGTAAACTATGGACACCTTCCTGCACAGAGAGGATGGTCTAAAAACACTGCCTGTGGGGCTTGGTTCTGTCCAGATAAAACTTGACCTCCTGCTTAGCATCCAAATTGTGCCATTCCCCTCCTGAAGCATGGACAGTTGTGGACAGATCATGTCAGGTGGCTCTCTGACACCACCAGAACCTTCCTTAGGGGGCCTCCTCTTTGCTCGCTGCTCCACTCCCAATGCCAGACTTAGTATTTTCCCTCCATGAGCCTGGCAAGGGACCTGTGGCTGGGCACAGCTCAGAGCATGTGTGGCTGCAGGCAGGAGTCTAGGGGTTGGAGGATTCCTAGTGCCTCACACAGTCTGCAGGAAGTCTGAGGGTGGGGACAGGTGGCCCTGCCTGTGTTTCAGGGTCCCCTACTCTGGTCTTCTTTTTTCATTTTTTCCTGCTCTTGCTATGAGAAATCCTGGAGAAATCCACCTCCTACCATGAGGCAGGAAGAAAAACAGGCAAACCTCTAGCAGGCCCCACCTCCTCCCGGAAAACTAAGATGGAGACTGCCTTCCCAGATCAAAAGGCGGGTCCTTTCCCAAACTAGCTGGCCTACTGCACTCAAGGAGCAAATTGGTAAATTCTTCCTAATAGTCAACTTGGACAGTCAGATGCCTATCTGTTTGAAATGTAACTATAGTTAAAATTAAACATATTTTGCCCAGTTTGGATGACAAAGCAAGCTGCAGTGAAAGCTTTCAAAAGTGAAAGCAAAAGATTCTTAATTTCTTGACATGGAGAAGGAAGAAGGATCATGCAACCCTGTGAAGTCATGAGCAGAGCCGGGTGGAGCTGGGGGTCAGACTAGATGGTCTGGCTGGCCCCTTCTGACTCGCGCTGTTTCTGTTTTTATGTAACCCAGTGGGAAGTTCATGACTAGTTCATGTTTCACTCAAGTGTAACACTAGACCACAGTGTGATGGAATACACCCCATTCGGATGCAGCCAGTAGCTAAATGGCCCCTGAATGAGAAGTTCTTGAATTTCAGATGCTGAGAATAGACAACCGATGCTTTCATGATGTGGAGGAGAGGACAGACTTACAGGGGCTCTTGGTCAATCCTGTAATAAAAAACAGTGTTCCTATTGTGATACTAAGAAAAACAGGAATCTAGTAAGCACACTGTTGGATAATGTTGCCTAGACACTGAACTGAGTAAGGGCAGCCAAAGAGGAGTGAACACAGCAAGAAGCTGAATGCTCACAATGACTCCAGAAGGGTACATCTGAGGGAAACAAATGGTCCTCCGGATGCATCTAGCTCAATCTCAGTCAAAAAGAAGGCAACACACTAAAGCAGAGTACACTACATTTAACTAACAAATGTGGCATGTTGCTGTTCTAACATCACAGGGACACACTTACTTTTGAATATCTGTATTTTGTTGCAGGATAATAGGCTTAAAGTGGGTTGCTGACGATGTGAAAGCATGTGGCAACATGGTGCTTTCTCTGTTTAAAGATGGCTGGCAGGGGACCGGTCCTTTTACTGCTATCAGCTTGTTTTCATTGTTCATAGGTAAAAATCCTGAATGTGCAAAGAGGACAAACAGAAACACAACAACAACAAAAACAAACAAACCAAACCAAAACAATGCATTTAGCATAGGCAGGATGAACAACCGCTGACATATGAAAAACATTAGCTATTAGTGCTTCCCAGAACAAATATGTAGAAAAGTCTACACAATAGTCACATACAGAAGTACTCACCTATGTTTTCATTCACAGTGTTTCTTTCACTTTGAAAATCAAAAGGGAAGCTATCATTTAAAGGATCCATTTCTCTGAAAGCCTAACAGCAGAACAGTTTTAAAGAATGCATTAGAAATGTGGTCTTTCTCAAGCAGAGCAACATAAAAATAGCTTTATTTTTAACTTCCTTGCTAAAGTCACATGATGCTTTTGAATTCCTCAAGGGCATTTGGGGGTATCTCACGTTCATGAAACCAAGCCATTGTATCTTTTGGGTATTAATGTGAGATTCTTCAAATGCCCGGTAAATAAAGTTTTGATTTGTTTGCTTTGTCTTTTTTTTCCCTGTTCTATGTAACTTTTATGAGGCCTGTTTTTGGGATAATTCCTATTGTAGGTGTGGATCAAGTATGTAAAAACACTTGTTCATTTTAAGTGTATCCCAGCTGAGAACAACACTTCAAGTATCAAATGAAGTACACTTTAGTCCAAGCATGGGAAACTTCTAGCCCACCAAGCTGTCCCCCAGTTTAAGACCTTCCAATAGAAGACGTCCCATATCCCCTCTCCAACAATGCTGCTCTGCTCCCTTTGTTTGCCCCGGCTTGTTTGTTAAATCAGGGTAAAAAGGAGTTCCCTGAATTATGGAACAGAAAGAAAGCATTCCACTACATCCCAGCCTTTGTCTTTCACTTCCAGAGTTGATTACAGCTATTCATCAATCTCTGGACCTCCTTATCCATCTCTGGAATTCTACTGTATTTTGTGCACAATGTTTCTGCAGGAACCTTTTTGATACTGTGTGCAATGGGGACGTGGGACTGCACACAAAGAAGTGTGATGATATGGCTTGTGACGGAAGCAGAATAGGTATCCCCAGTGTTTGGGGAGTTTAGATTCTGCCCCCCCCCCCCGCACCATACATAAGCTTTGCACACTTCCAGTCCTGGGTAAACTCATATTGTAATGAACATACAAACTGAAAGATTATATAAACACACACACACAAAGAGAGAGAGGGAGAGGGAGGGAGGGAGAGTGGGGCGGGGAGAGAGAGAGGGAGGGAGAGAGCTCAAGCAAGAATTCTGTAGAGAAAGTCTGAAATGTGTGCCAAAAATCCAAATAAATTCATGTCATTTTTAAACTGTCAATGAAAATCTAATGCTTCTATGGAATATGGCCACCAAAGGCTGATATTATTGTTAGGGTGAAATACGCTGGGGAAAAGAGTTTCTAAAAATTAAGGCTTATACACCTACACATTTAATTTTTTAAAAGCCCTGAGAACTTTTATTTCTTCTGTTTGGTATTTAACATGAGCTTCCAGAAACTTAATGGAATGAAAAGATATACACAAACACTAACTCTCTCTCCTCCCCTCCCCCCCGCCGCTCTCTCTTACCTGAAAGGTAGATTTGATTAAAAATGCCAGAGTTGTCTTGCTGTTTATACTTTGTTCAAGCAGATAGCTATCACATATCTAAAATTGTAAAATATCAGGCTGAGTTATTCATACTAGGTAAGAAAGAAATACATAACCAAAATCAGCAATAACTTTTGCAATTATTTTAAATTTAGGAAATGTCATTTGCTTACTCCAAATAGGTTGAATTTGCTATTTTTTAAACCCTCCATACTTGTTCTCATTGACTCCCTTTAAGGCAAGAAAAGTCATCAACTACTTAATTTGGCATTGTTACAAAAATATTTTAAATGCATAGTCACTACTATACTAGTTTGCAGGAATAAAACCCCTTTAAAACTTAATTTTTAAAGTTATTTTTAGTTTTTATTTTTTTTAAAATTAAAAGACTTAATTTAATTCACCTTAATTGCCTCTGCCAGAGAAGGTCTGTCTTCCGACTTTCTTCTTGCCATATCTAGAAGAAAATTCTTCAGTTTTCTTGGTAACACAAGTTTGTGATCAGGTGGAAAATTGCATTTTGCTGCTCTCCACAAAATTGCAGCAATACAGTAAATACATACCTATTGGAAATGGCACTGTGAAAGGCAAACAAGCCACTGGGACAACATCTACTTAAACTGTTCCTTGGCCTTAAATATGTATACTCAGAATAACCCATTTCAGGTCACTGGCGTAAAGCTAAGTTATGCACTAAAAGCACAACCTGCAAATGGTTGTGTTGACATTCCTCAAGCACCAAAGCCAACTTCAGGTATAACTGGGGTCAGAACAAAGTGCAATTAACTTTAGCCTTTCCTCATGACCAGTAGATCAATGCTCAAAGTACATATTAACCACTTTTAAGATGCTGTGTCAGAACTCACAGACCCTGTTCAGAACTGACATTTTGCTGATAGCATCATTAAAGGAAGGCACTTCTGCTGCCAATGACTTTGGGGACACTTCAGATCTGGCTAGATGCAAACTGCTGGAAGCCCTAGGACACATGAGCATGGAGCTTCCAAAGAATTAAAGCTTGATATAAAGAAATAAAAAGGTCGTGCTTGTGCATGTGTGGGACAAAGTTCTCTCTTTCACCTAATCAGCAGCATCATAATCCTGTGATGTCACACAATAACACCGTACAAAGGAAACTGTAACTAGAGGTAGGAAAATTCATCCATTTCAATTTCTCTCTGTTTCTTATTTTTCCAATCTTAAATTTGGCTAGTTCTGAAGTTTGAGATTGTGTTTGAGTTGGCATAAACATGCATATGTATTAAATATTTTAACAGAATAAGATTGTGTTCAAAGATTATTTTAATTATTAACTAGATTTCAGTCCTAGTTTCCAAACAATACTAGTCTTTCAGAGTGGCTCCTATCAGTTATAAAAAAGGTCTTTCCAACAGGTTTTCAAAATATGAAACAAGGCTACATAAATGTAAGTAAATGTAAATAGAGCTGCCAGGCTGCTGACGGGGACTGGGAGTTATGTTCACATGACTCCAGTCCTCCGTCAGCTTCACTGGCTTCCCATTGAAGTCCAGGCCCAATTCAAGGTGTTGGTGATGACCTATAACGCCCTAAACGGCTTGGGTCCTGGTTACCTGAAGGAGCACTTACATCCATATATGCCCGCCCGCCCCCTGAGATCAGCGGGAGAGGCCCTTCTCAGGGAACCTTCTGTGAAGGAAATTAGGAGGGTAGGTACTCGGAGGAGGGCTTTCTCTGTGGTGGCGCCCAATCTATGGAATGTGCTCCCCAGAGAGGTCTGCCTGGCGCCGTTATTTGTTTTTCGGCACCAGGCGAAGACCTTTTTATTCAAGCGTCATTTTAATTGTTAATGGTATTTATTTTTATTCTTTGGCCAGGGCGACTTATTTTATACTGTTATATGTGTTTTATATTGTTAATTTATGTATTTTAATTTATTTATTTGTAAGCCGCCCCGAGGCTTCGGCGAATGGGGCGGCCTAGAAATTTTCTAAATAAATAATAAATAAATAACATCTTATGGAGCTATCTAGTAACCCCAAGCAACTACGTCAACTGGAAAGTGTGACTATCCTTGTTTTTCAAAAAATAGATTGCTACATAAGGCAGGGATATGGAATGCATGGCCCTTCAGATACTGCTGAACTTCCACTGGCCCTCATCAGAATGGAAACTGTAGTCCACCAACATTCGAAAGGTCAAATATTCCCCACCCCTGATTTAAGGCATGAGGCCATGTATCTATCATATCACAATACCTTTTCAGTAACAAAACCCTCGTCTGCCATCTCAGGGGCTAAATAATGCATATCATATGATCCTCCTGGAAAAAAAGGAAAAGAATCTAATTAAAGCTGGTAGATAAAAAAAACTCAGTTAACAGAATTAGCAGCATGCATTTACCTTCACTTTTAGGTGAAACAAAGAGAACACTTCCATCACAGTTTATCACCACAGAGTCTAAACACAAATATGCTGAAAGACAAATAATATGACTATTAAAAGAGTGAATATTTTTACAAGGTCTTAAAAAACAGCAGGCGCAGACTTTGGCATGGGAGTTGTCTGGTAATGCACAAAGAGGTTCACTCAGTTAAGATTCTACACAGCCAGGTGCAGAGCTTGAAGGCGTTCCTGGATCCATCACTGTCACCACAGCTCCACTGGCCTTTGTGGCATGCAGTGCTTTTTCTCGGCTTCAGTTGGCACCTCAGCTGCAACCCCATATAAAGGGGGTCACCTGGACACAACGTTTCATGCTCTGGGAACCCACATGCACCTCTGACAACACCGCAAGAGTTTGAACACCAGGCAGTCCATTGCGACTTGCCACGATGGGTGGACTGAACACACAACAGAGCTCCAGTGCGCACATCAATCAGTCTCATGGTGACTGCTTTGCTGCCTCCCCTTCAGAGTACATGGCAGGAGCAAGGAGACTCCTTCCCTGACAGCTGAGATTGGTTCACCATGATTATCCCTCCCCAGGTCACAGAAGCAGGCTAGAGGGCTGGTTATCCCATTAAGAATCTGGCACAAACTACATCTTCAAAACCCCCACTGAGACCATGGACGGCCTGCCCATGCATGCCAACTATTTTTAATTAATAATTCTGTGCTCACATATGGGTGCAAAGAAAATGGTTTTCTTCTGAGCTGTTCCTGTTGTGGAAACAGGGTTCATTTTCTGAAGACCAATGGAGAACAAGGGTCAGTCCAACTGCCTGCCCTGCCATCTGCAGCTGCGTCTGCCCTGTGCCACCAAAATGCAGTCTTGCAGCTTGCAGCAGTGTTGGGCAGAAAACTAGGATGGGAGAGGCTCGCTCACAAGGCAAGTGACTCACTCTCCAGCCCATTCTGCTGACATGCATCCTTTCAAACTTCAGCAGTGACGGAGGGTGGAAGAGCCAGGATCAGGGTAGCTGACTGACAAGTCAATTGGCCCAGCCTTTTGGCTCATTGCAGCAGTGCAGGACAACAGAGCCAGGCTCACCACTGCACACCAGAGCAGTGGGTCTGAAAGGGGCTGCCACTGCAGTGAGTAATCGGGCGAGCCTTTGTTCTCTGCCCCAAATACAGCACAGGCACTCTGGGGAAAGCTGTCAGCTGCGCTCACCCAGCTGCTAGTGACTCCTCCCCCAGATAGCTGGGAGGGGTAGCAGGGAGTGGGGGAAGCCTCCCCTCCCCAAGTGCCACACAAGAATTTTGGGGGCAGCTGTTGATTGCACTTACTGACTAACCACTTGACAATGGGATTTGCCTCTCTTGTCAAGCGACTCACACATTGTCGGGCTTGACCCATGACAGCCCATCATGAGTCAAACAAACTTATAGCAAACAGTTCTTAACATGGATGCCAAACATGATAAGAGAGTATCATGGGTGACCACAAGTTATGTGATATGACATGACAACCAATCTATAACAATAATTAATGGCTCATTGACTCATTTTGCAAACAAAATCATTATATGGCTGCAGGACTTTAAACAAGGACCAGGCATTATAATCCTTTTTCACCTTCATTGGCTTCCAATTCATTTCCAGGTTCAATCCAAAGTGCTGGTCTTGACCCAAAAGCTCTACACCAGGGTAAAGTAACCTATTGTTCTATTCCAATTAGCACTTGACCTCAGTCAGCATAGTCAATGGCCAGGAACGGTAGTCCAACAACATCTGGAGAGTCACATGTTCTCCACCTCTGCTCTACATGCCTTGCTATTTCATGGAACCTCTCCTTCCATATGTTCCTGAATGTGGCCTTCCAGAACCTTTGAGTGCCCCTCAAGTTTAGTATAGCTATGGGAGATGGGAATTTCATGGTCAGCTTTGGAAAATTTTCCTTAGGGAAGCTCACCTAGCACCCAATTTGTTGACTTCTGCACCTTATTGGTCAGGTGCCAAGCCAAAAATATTTTTGTTCTTCCATGCATTTTGATAACTAGCAATATAAATATTCAAGATGTATTAGTTTGGTTTTGGCACAGTGTTTTCTTAAGCTCCTGTTGGTGTGTTTCAACTTTATGTTTTTTTATGCCACATTGGCATGTGCTTGCAACTTGCTATGCCATATTGGAATTAAATCATTTATTGTGATTTCAGCTTTAACTGTGCTTTAAACACGGTTTGAATTTTGTGAAGTATCTAATATAATGAAAATATTTAATCTGCTGAAAGCCTTGTGAAAGAAGCAAGTTTTAGAAATCTAAAAATGTAACATGGTTGGCTAAAGAAAACAGGATGCAAGCAGAGATTCCCAGCTACAAAATTGGAAAATTACCCCATCCTCATAGCTGGGAACCCCCACTTCCCTTCTGCTTTGCAGCCAACATAGAAGGAACCACAGCAGGTACATTTCTGACATGAGAGTGATCTCAGAGAATGGCTTTAGGCAGCAGGGAGGGAAAAAGTATCCTGGCGGTGCCTCAGTCTCCTTCGCTCCCACTCCAAAAGACCACACTGACACAGCCAAAATCAGCCATCTAAGTACTTTGCAGAACAGGAGAATTGCTAGCATATCTGTTATCCCCTGACTTTAGAGGTTACGGACATTCCCATGGAGTGGCACCTTGAGTACCCTAAAAATTGCAGACACTGCAGACTGCAATATCATGGAATAAAAGGCAGAAAATAAACAAGGATTATAGAGAGATCATTATACTATGGACTTCCAGTTTGGGTCATGGCGGAGTAGCTGTGAATAGCGAAAGCTCTCGCTATCACACTGGTGTTTGTTCAACAGAGAGCCGTGGGAGGCTCATCTAAGCCCTGTCGGGGCGAAGATAGATTGTCCGGGCACTTCTTCTAATTGTGCGGGGCAGCAGCTCTGTATTTATTGGAAGAGGTCTGAGCTTTCCTCAATCGGACAACACAGGGGAGAGATAAGCTCCCTTCAAGTCATCAACAGCTGGACAATTAGCATAATTAATTAGCTGAAAGTTCATCAGACTGCTGGGTAAGCATTTTTATCTTGTTCTCTTCTATATTACCCGTGAAAGAGCAGTACAGCTTCTAATTTGGCCTAAAGAAGAAAGGGAAAGCCCTTTGATGGAGGGATCCCGCCCCCACAGAGTTCTAAGCGGTGACTGGTCTAGGGGAGGGGAGGGGAGGGGAGAGGAGAGGTGAGAAGGTTTGAGTCTTGAAAGAAGGATCCTTTTTCTCTAACCTCCCCAAGGGCGAAGAATTAGAATAAATAATTATTTTGAAATAACGTGATGGAAGATAAAAACTACACTGATTGGCCATTGTCTCTCTCTTCTTCTTAGACTCTCGCCAAAAAAACAACAACTGAACTTTAGCCAAGTTGAAATTCGTCATTTTTTTTTCCGCTGGACAAAGGACTGTAAAGAAAGAATGCTCTCTGCTGCCACCAGGTGGCTTTTTGGATTATAGCAAGTATTTTTATCTTTTATCTTTTTCCTTCTTTTTTTCCCTTTTGCTGCTGACCATTATGGAAGAGCTAAAGTCAACACTCCTGGCAATACAGGAATCCTTAACAGCTTTGCAAATATCCTTGTTAATACAACAAGAAATCTTTTCAATTGAACAAAAAGAATATTTTGATAAACTTGATACTTCTTTTAAGGAGACTTTGGTAGATGTACAACCTAAAATTGAACAGAATACACAAAAAACACAACAAGCATATGGAAAATTTGAAACCATGGAAACAGAAATAAAATTAGTAAAACCAATAAACAAGCTATCATGGGATTCACTTGTTACATTAGATTGGCTATTAAAAGAAGGAACATTTTTTACTGGGAAGAAGAAAGGATGGATGGATTCCGAATTAACTACGTATTATTTTGAGGAAGAAGAAACAGTGAATACTGATTTGCAGCAAGAAATACAGTCATTGGAAATAAATATTGATTTACAACAAGCGCTACATTTACTGAAAACAAAGCAAGAAATAGTGGATATTGATTTGCATCAAGAAATACAGATATTGAAGAATACTGATTTACAACAAACACTCCGCCTATTGAAACCAAAGGAAGAGAAATGGGGCAGGGGTGTAAAGAAGAAATAAGAGAATTTGTTATCTTAAAAAGGAAAGATGTAAATTGGTTGGCATGTTTACTGCAGTATGAAAAGGCTAAGTTATATGATTCTTTTGTTCTTAAGTTACTATACTAGAAAATTATTAATGTTGGTGGAAGAAAAGTTGTACTAAGAGGATTTTTTTCCCTCTTTTTTTCCTTACCCATAGAAACTTCTCTCTGTTTAAATGCATTGAATTCTGAAGGGATTATAAGATATGATCTAAACTGAGTTAAGAAATATAAGAATAGGGAATTGAGCTTTTTCTTTGTTGGTGACATAAGATGTAGATACAATCGAGATATGTTAAAGATCATAATGAATGGGGCTTTTATAAGGAGCTAATAGTATTTGATTAAGTGATTTTGTATAAAATCTATTATAGGTAGTAGTTGTCACCAAATAGATTAGTTAAGATGTTTCTAAAGATGTTAAATGGATGTTGGTTATTTAAATGTAATGGGTATTTTTATTATATAGAGTAGAGGAAGTGGTATAAAAATTCTTAGTTTCTTATATCAGATTTTTTTTTAAGTAGGTATTGTATTGGAACACTAGTAAATAAGAAATGCATTTGATTTTACTTGTAATTTCTGTGGTGAGGAGTCTATTTGTTCAATTCTGGAAAAATGAAGAATTATTCTTTGGTGAAATGATTTTGGCTCTATCACTGAAGGAGAAAGAAGATACTGACTTCTATCAAACTTGGGTGTTTTTTTTTACTATTGGCTAGAAAAATGGGACTTGGCTTAAAGATGTTTTTATGTTATTATAAATGGATTTGAATATGATTATAGAATGTTAAAAGATATGTAGTAGGGGGCTGACCCAGTATGTCTGATGTATTTGATGACTGATGTTTTTAGTATTAGTTTAAAAATCTTAATAAAAATCTTTTTTTAAAAAAGAGATCATTATACTATCATAAGATAGCATATAGTATTCTTACATTATAATATAACAAAAGCGTAGCCACAAATGTTCTCAAAGACATTGATTTGCTAATGTACCGAAGTACATTGCTACCTCGTCTCACAAATGCCTCAGTTCATGACTAAATCAGGTTGCAAACAAATTTCAGAAAAATTTGCCTCAGTTTGCGAACTCCACATTGGGTGACATGGCACACTCTAGTCTTGAAATATTAAGCAGCTGTATTAGAAGACCCAAAATCATGATTCCACTTTGTAATTATCTATCTTTGCCAAATCTGACAGTATATAGAAAATGACTTTACCATCATAATAAAAATGCAATAAATTATTAACTTCACAGTTTATCAACCTTCTGCTATTTGCTGCTATACCATTATATACTTCATAGACCATTAAAAAATTTTTGCTTGAAAATGTCTTTAGGAAATAAATAAACATGCAAAAATGTTGGTGACTGAAACAGGCTTCTCATGAGTGGGCAGAATTCAGTGCTGCATGTGTACTTGTAGAATCCAGTGCAACTAGTTTCCCAGGGCAACTAGAAACGCCACATGGCCTATCCTGGTGTGAAAACAAGCATTTTTGCTCATTTCAGAGTCTGCTTTAAGACGTGCTGGTTCCCATTGTGTTTGCAGTAGGCTCCTGGGGCACAGCAAAACAAACATGGGCTCAGGAGCAGGAGCAGAGCTTGCCAGCATGTTGCTAAACTGCATTTGGAACAGTAATATTAAGGCATCCAAAGCCAAACATTAATGAAAGCTATTCTTGCCCAATTAGGGGATGATCCACCCGCTCACTAGGTTTGGTGCTTTCCCCAAGTTCTCAAAAGGCCTTCAGGTACACATGTGCACACAGACAATTCCCAGAGCACCAAGCATTATTTATAATAGGAGGTCAATATACTGATTCACTCCTCAACAAGGCCCCAGACCTCTGCACTCATGGAAGAACAGAGACGCCCCTATGCCAAGATAACACATCATATTATTTGAATATAAGATACGAAGGTCCTACCTGGATAATCTGCATATGCTTCCAGAGTAAGCAAACATTCATGGCATAATGCCCAGAGTTCATAGTCTTTCAGTGGTTTACCATACTGTATTAAGAGATGTTTCAGAAAAGCACACTGAAAACAAAATAAAATGTTACTCATAGTTAGGAGACAAAAGGCATTTCTGAAGCCAAAGTCAGTGACAAAGAGTATACTAATTTATCTGTGTGCATTCCAGCATATGCACACTTAGTAATTGTGTGTGTGACTGTAGTGGGAAAAGGGGCATCTAGAAATACCAAATTAAAAAAAATCCTCCAGACGTGTTCAGTGATTCCAGGTTTACTACAGAACCAAAGCATTTAACACTATTGTAGCTTTTAGCTTGTCTTCCTTATCGGAGTACAAAAATAATATCCTACTTAAACATACATGAAAATAACAGAGACGTACAAATACCAGTCAAATTCCACAGTGTAATGACTGAGGCCTCAAATTTCCCTCCAATTTAACAAAAAGTTTTAAAACTTCTTAAGGAAGGATTAAATTTTGGATATACCTGCTTAGTGAGATTCTTATTTTTAAATTTTAGCGCTTTAAAAGTACAGCTATACAAAAGGAACCAGTATGAAATCATACAATCATGTCACAGGGGAATAAGGTTTTGGAGCTTGGTCTTATCCCCTTTCATTTAGTACCAAAGTAAACCAAAAGTTTATTTCTGTCTTGGAGGCAGTCTGTCATCAGCACCTCATATCACAGGTTCAGTGCCCAACGTGGCTTGGCCACCCTTTTCCCCATACCCTTCTTTTTCTGTCTCTCTCCACCCTTCCTTCCTCACCGTTCAGTGAATGCTCAGCAGAAGGCCGTTTGCCTACTTACTTTTTGCCTACAAAATTGTCCAACCCTGATTTTGTATGTACGGAAACACGGTTTGCACACATGAAATGATTTTCAGCTTTTCATTACCCTAAAAATGCACCTGTCACAACCAAAGAAGGCATCAATAGAGGCCTTCCCTGCTCTGCCAGAAGTATAGCTCTTTATATCCAATACATCCTTGTCATCCTAAATGCAGGTGTCAAAGTTGCAACCTAACAGTTATGACCTAAGTCCATAACACCTGCATAAAGTGCATACTAAATGGATGCAAGTAGATATCAAAATCAACCACTGGATTTGTGGATTCTTGATACTTTTCTTTAAAGTATGCTTGTTTCATTCTTTTATTAAAAACATACAAAAAGTAAATACAATTTTACTGTAATAGTAATTTTCAGATCCTTTTTTTGTGAGACACTGCCATATAATTGATGTATAATTCTCAGGTAAGAGAATATGCAAGAGGACAGGGCAGGGGGAAAACAGGACAAAGCACACCTGTTGCAGGCAGAGAGGCTCCCAGGCATTTCGGGTTAAAGGATATTAGGGAATTTGAAAGCTTGCTGACCATTCTGTGGCATTGTGGCTGGTCCCAATAAAGTTACTGTCTAATCAGAGTGCTGTGGGGAAGACTTCTGTGTGATCTTTGGGAGGGCACATATTCAAAAATAAAATGTGAATATGCTAGGTATGTAAGAGAGTTTCTTATATAATTATTTTTAAATGCCCATTTTTGGATATTGGATCCTCCCCTTAAGCAACCAAAAGGACTCTGAAAGGGACCTTGCAAAGCTATGCTACTTTCTATTTGTGTTTCTTGCAATAAAATTCAAGAGTGGTGATGTTTAAGTACCTCTGAAGTGCTTCTAAAGCCCTTTCTCAAAGACACCTGGAAGACAGCACACCATTTACAAGCTTCGAATTCAGTCATTCGAAAGGTACCAGAGACTGAGAAATTAAAGTGCGCTATTAAAACAGGTCTGCCATATTACAATGTACATGTTGGTCTTTCAAATAAATACATATATACAGGTATTTAGGCAAAAGAGTCAGAGACAATTTCTGTATAAACCTGTGCATTTCTACTTTAAAGGCAGGTTTGAAGATAGTTACAATATGCATGCCAGAATCCTCCAGCATAAGATTCTATCATAAGTATCCAAATAAAGGTATATCAGCCATACAAATATGTTGGCTGCACAGTCATTAAACTATTTCTCAAATCATGCAATGCCTCAGGGGAGATTTATTTATTGCCTGACAGCTATTTTCCTGAGAACAGGAAATTCTTTTTTCAAAAACAACTTTCTGTTTTCAAAAGATAAAGGTCGTCTACCCTGGAAATCGCATGCATCTCAGAACAAAAATCATTTGGGAACCAAAACAATGGGTTCCACTCAAAAAAAGTGTATTTCTTCCCCAGTATCAATACATTAGTTTATTTGGTTTTCATTAGTGTCATACTTTAAGGGTCTAGACTACCAACAGAAAGCAATAGAGTACATATATTCACAAACTGCAGCTTCCCAGTACAAAAGCCAAAGCAAGTGCATATAAAGAAATAAGAATGGAATTAAGTTGGCCAGAGAAAATGGATCCTCAGTCGCATCTGAATTGAAAAGTGTTTATTTGTGAACTGCAAAAAAAGCTATTTTTAAAAGTCTGAAGAAACAGTTATGAAGCCAGCAGGTTCAAAAAAGTTTGGCCATGTAAATTTGAAGAAAAGCAGACAATAAGGGAAGCAGGATCATGGCATTAACAAAGACATGAGGAAATACAAGTAGCAGATGAGCATTATTTCTGAGAAAAGAAACATGAAAACCAGCAGACTGGAGTATGATGAGCACAATGGGTACTGCACAAGCAGGGTATCTCTATTTTCTCCTCTGGCAAGAAAATGGTGCATAAACAAGTGCATTTTAACACTTAAAGAGAATAGCAAAGCTCTAACTCCCATGGAAGCACAAGCACTAAAGCTCCACGTATAAGAGCTGCTTGATTGAAGCTACTGAATTAAAGTTGTGCAACTTGGGACAAATGGAATTCCTACCTAGAAGAGGCAAATACCACCATGGGAAAGAATATTGCTACACTTAACAAGAAACTGAAAGCAAGAGTGGTGATAAGTGAAAGAGGAGAATTTTAACCTGTGTTATGACAAGATCGATATGGCACTTCATATCTCCCCCAGCAAATATATAAACACACACACACACAATCAACAATAGCTAAGCATGGATGGCAATATAAATTTTAGTTAAAGTGAAAGATGGTATTGCTGTGTAACAAGTCAATGTTTTGTCTTTCTCAGTACCCCTAATATATGTATAAAGGTAACACTATATAATTGTGTGCCTCTTTCATCATAAACACTGGCCTTTTCAATCATATAAATTCAGTTAGGATGAAAAGATTAGGGATGTCAGATCACAGCTTTTCTGATTCTCAATCCTAACATGCCACATCGAAGTTCTCCTGACATGCAGCAGTTTCCAAGATGCCTCAGATCTTCATTTGCAACCAGATAAAAGATGTTTGCAAGTGTTTCCAAAATCATGGCATCAGAGACTCTGGTTTTACTAATCTGACTCTTGCTAGCTGTGCACTATTACTTACATAAAATTAGCAAGGAGAGGTGAGGAAAGGTAACCAAAGTTTAAACTTCTTTTGTTTCAGCTTCCTTTTGCAAGAGGCTCAGTACCAAAGCTTATTCAAGCTCATCCAAAGAAAGCAAAGACAACATCTACTTGAGAGATTATCTTCATCTCTAAAATAGGCAGGAGAACCTTACCCTTCCTGGGCCTGTCTGCACGTTACAAGTCCTACCAAGCCACCATGCGTTAATTAACCCCTGAGGCAAAATGGTGTGGGTATTTAATATTTTGAATATTTGAACCATACGTCTTGTCATGGCGTGACTCCAGCAAGAATGGGCTGTTGACATGTTTAAGAGATCATCCAGAATTGCTGTACTTTTTATGTTACTGTGTGGTTTTTTAAACACGACGAGACACCAACCACACTGGAAGCGCAAGACATGACAAGTCTGAATATGCCTGATATGATGTACATATGCACAAAGCATCTATGGCCACTGCAGCTCACCGGTGATTGGCCACTATCTCATCCGACCACACAAATACCATTTCTTAAGTGTGAGTCAAACCCATCAAAGAACATATGCCTTATGCATCCACTTAATCCTTATGTATCTACTAACTCAGTTTGAGCAACTGTAAGATTAGAAGTAAGCCATATGTGATAAGCACTGGGCCATATTATAGCAACCAAACGCCAAGGTGCTCTACATTTCTTCACAAGGGAGCTGTAATTATGAAGCAAAGCATTCACATGGAGCCTTCTGCAGTATGTAAAAAAAGTCATTCCACTGGACTGAGGAGCAAACTAGGGCACTGATTCCTGCAAACAAATGCCAAGTGCTCAACGTAATCTCTACCTCGAAATAAGTAGCTTTAAGGTATTCTGAAAAAATGCTGAGATAACCATCTATAATAAGACCAACACATTGCAATTCAGTTACTATTTAATACATTGGGTATAAAATTACTCAACTAATTCATATTGTTCATTATGGTGCATGCATGCTGCTATAGTTTAACAGCCAACTATGTTTAATAGCCAACTTTCTACTATGAAAGAGGTCAATACTTCACCCCCAGAACTGTCCCTTTGATGCCAAACAAATTAAGACAATGTTTTAAATGCAAGTTTCATTTCTACTACCTGTTCTTTATCTTTCATTTCTGACTCCCTGTCTCCATCTGGTATATCTTCAATATAATAGCCTTTCCTCTCACTGTGAGTATGTTCTGTGGAACTTAGTAGGATTGAGCTACATCCATGTTCATTAAGTGCTGCAACCACTCCAGGCTTCCTGTTAATATGTAACAAACCATTTTCATTTGACCTTGATGAAGTTTCACCACAGTATTCCCATGTATCATAATTTTCTAGTATTTTATGGCCAGATCTTGACTCATGTGGTCCTTTTAGTGCACCACTGCTGTCAGATGTTTCAGAAACCACAAGATTATATGGAAGAAAATGTGCTTTTTTGTCATCCTGGATTGTCATGTGGTGTTTAGAAATGCAGGTTCCCTCTTGGCCCAGGCAAGCATCCTCAAGGTTATCGTTTGTCACCTGGAAATATGATGCTTTTGATCCAACTTTATTACTTCTCTCACTCTGATTTAATTTTCCTTCTAAAACAATATGCTCATTATTATGAATTATAGCTAATGGTTTATGTTGCAACCGATGCCGTTTCTTTGTTAATGGTCCATTGTGCCTTGTAAATGGGCAGGAAATTCTTGCATCTGTCTCGGATCCAAAAGGTAGCATTGGCAGTGTCTTTACTTTCCTCAAACAAGTTTCCTCAAACACCTCACTCCCCATTTCACTTGTGTTTTTGTATTTTATATTGCTGTTGTCTTCTTTACATTTAGTAACCCAAGTTGAAATGTTTTGACCACACAGTGTTCCATTTTTAATTTCTTTTCTGTCTCTGTTATTGTAATTCATAGCATGTAGGCCGGAAGCATTTCTACCACTAGCTGCTTTCATTTCGTCCACTTCTAGAGATGAATTCTCTCTTAAGTTATCTTCTGTGCAGTGATCATAAGGTGAAATCCTTTCACAGGCCTTTTCTTCCCACATGTTATCACAACTGTCTGGATGCAAAGACAAATGTTACTACAACTTTTGTCTCCTCCATCTGTCTAAGCTACCCAAAAGTACCCAACATATCAAAAATTAAATGTGAAAAGTTGACTTTTCAGAAGGAACCAATTATGGATTACTTTTGTACAGCAAGCCAATCTACCTCCTCTTCATTGTGAAGGGATAAATACTTATATCAACCTTCTCCAACCTGAGGTTCTCTAGATGTGTTGGGCTACATCTCCCAGTACACTCAGTCCTGGGGATGGTCAGCCTATGTGCCTAGTAGTATTTGTCTACATAATTGATTGCTGACTTATGTTTGAGTCTGTTAATCTTCATATGCAAAACATGTGCAGTGGCAGATACTGGGCCCCTATATTTGCACAGCATCTGCCTTCTATCCTTCTAAATGTAACATAACATTAGTTTATTAAAACTTATTAGTTTACCCAGCGAAAAGGAACAATGCACTTTTTATCCAGGTTATAATAGTTTGGGCTCTGTATCACTAGCTAAAAAACATACTCTTGATTTAATTATGCAAGTATGCTGAAGTATCAAAATGACATAAGGTATACCTTGAAAGTTGTCACATGGTTCAATTGAAAGCACTCTTCTTCCAGTAGAATAGAGGCACTGGCAAATATCAGTGGAGGAAGAAAACTTCAATTTCTCTTTACAGATTGATATGACATTCTATAATAACAATTGCATAGCAAAGTATTTAATAATTGTCTAGCCACCATACAAAGTATGTTTTCAGCCTGATATTAGAGATTAGTATTACTTTGGAAATCTCAACATTTTGCACTTCTGAAACAAATTATTAAGGAATGGTAAGTTGACAAAACTCCCTGTTAACTTTCTGTAAGATTTAATAGAGATTAATTTGATGTGCAAGATTTTAAGTATTCAAATATGTTTGCAATAGTTAAAATAGTTTATTTAGTTAAAATTCTGTCCTTCATTGTTTTTGAATTAGTAGTGGAGTCTATAGCAATCTTTCACTGAATGCTCCATATGGGGCACATCATAGCCCCAAACCAAGTTTCAATGGCAAAACTATTAAGACTTCACAACCAAAATAGTCTTATCACTACAAAGAAATTTACAGGTGATCAATATAATGAAAAACATAGTTTAAAGTAATGGTTTTCAGACTGTTCTCTAACAGGTTTATACTTAGGTTTTGATTCTACAAGCAATCTGAAAGTTTATGTATAAGCAATCCTGAAGGATTTAAGCCAAGGGAAGCAAGTCAATCAAACTGAACTTTGAATTTAACAAACCCAGTGTAGACATCCTTAGCTAACATATATTGGACTGAATCCAGAATTCATAGTTCACTAACTCTTCTGTCTGAGATGCTAATTTGCCAAAGAACAAAACAAACTGCTAGGCTGTAGCAAACGGTCCAGGGTCCAGTTCTCGTGGACATTCTGATGAACACAAATGTTCATAAATTCTATTCCGTATAAACACATGATAGAAAAAGAAATATATTTCCAACACTTCTATCTGAATGTTGAAAAGATACTACTTTCAAATGCAGATGTTATAAACCTTTTATCTATGCCTGAAATCATTCTACTAAAAAGAATAATCAAGAGAAGATTAAAGACTGGAGGGATTTTTCTATTTAAGAAGGCACATTGAAGACAACATAATACAGAAGCATTACATCACGGGCAAGACAAAAATGTATTTTTACCTCAAGATCTGGCCTCTCTTTAGGATTTTCTACCTGCATTTGTTCAAGGAGAGCATGCAAATCTTGGCTAAATTTTGAATCTATTTCAGGCTTCATCATGTACTCAGCTGCTGCTTTTAGTGTGGCACCCAAGGAAAAGATATGTACCTGCAAAAAAAGAAATATCAAAATAAAATAAAAATAACTACTATGGTGTTTCCACTGAAATCCAACATGGCTCTGCTAAAATCAATGAGCCAAAACCAGTTTGAACAGTTGCAGCTTACAGTTGAAGTAACTTCATGTATACTTTGGAAGGGCATGGAAGCAGCCTCAATCATATCTTGGCCCCTGCACTTTCCTCCCCCCTCCACCCACCAGAATGCCCCACTTTCCCCCCCTCTGAGATCTATTTCCTGACCTCAGAAAGGTAGCTAGCACAGCTGTCCCCAACTTCGGCACATGTTTTATGGTCCCTTGGGTGCTCACTGATAGAATTTCTCTCTAAATAAGTTCTCAATATTGCTTTTTATTAGAGGAAGCACAGGAATGCTCTCTATATAAGTTCTAAGCATTGCATATTACAATTTTGTATTTTTTTCTGAATGTATGTAAAACAAATAGGAGGTATTTTGGAAACTTGCCACTAGATGGAGCATTTTCCTAGTCTATTAAACTACTTACTGTGAGTGAAGCAGAATCTGAGAACTATCTGCTAGCTATGTACACACACAGATTTTTATTATGCTTCGATCTCTGCTTCCTTCCAAAGACTTCAGAGTGGTGTAAACAGTTACAGTGATTCCCTATTTTATCTTCAGTATCCATCCTGCTGAACAGACTGAGGAAACAGTGTTCAGCCCAATCATATAATTAGCTTCAAGGTTGAGTGGGCATACCTTGTCCAATAATCTAGCATTTTCATTTCTATTTTAGGGCATCAACTAAAACACAAGGCTTACACAGTTGTTTTCTTTCAGCTTAGATTGTAAAGGCAAGAAGAGACCAAAGTGCTGAATAAATATATATGACTGTCAGATAGACGTGTCCACCTGGAATTAGTGGAAAACATGGCGGGAGCTCCAAGATGTTCCCTATTAAGAAAACTTGGCTTGAGTAATGGCCGGCCGGCCTGCCTGATTTATATCTTGCCTTTTCCTTTTTTTAAAGAACTCAAAGTGGCTTACATCATTCTCCTCCTGCTGCTCTCACACTTGTCCCCATAAACCATGGAATTTATCAGGAATCCAGGACACGCATGCACAAGGCCATGGAAAGCTATATAGGTAAGATACTTGAGAACTGCATAGTAAATCAGTCAAATATTTTATTTCTTGAACTCAGCTTTTCTGCTAGTTATATTAAATGGTTCACTTAAAGCAATTCCACAGTTCAAGCCAACTCTGTTTCCATAATACAACAGAGAGTTTCCTTATGAAGAAACAGAAGCCTGGGAAATGTAGTTACCAAGCAGAGAATACTATCCAAATAATATTATCCATGTGTTATATGAAAAACATATAAATAAGTGTGTTTTCCATTCAGTTTTAATAAAACAATTTATTCCAACACATTCTATAAAATGCAGTTCAGTCAAGTTCACAGAACAACAAAGTCATGTTTGAAAAGGGAATGAATGATTATCTTTCCTGATTAATTTCCCATTTCAAATTTATTTATTTATTGCAGTTAAGAGTCATATCACTAAGCAGGGCCAAGAATACATGAATTGAAATTTTCATTAATTATAATACATGATCCAGTTTTTGAAATATCAGAAATAAATACACCTAAACACATGCTCAAGAAAATACTTTAAACACACTTTCACATACTACAATCTTCAATTCTTAAGAAAAAAGAAAGCATGTTTAAAGTATTGCTAGATGGATTTGAGCACTGGTACTTGCAAAATTCTGGCAGTAAGTAATGAAGCCAAAAGTTTCTAGGAGAACTGAGTGCAAAATGTTTTCAGGAAATATTGCTTTAGTAAGTCTTTTGGTGACAATATTCTGATTTGTCAATGGCCTACTGCCATCATGATAGAGCAATGCATATACTGCAGGATTGCCCATTCTATATATAACGTATTGGAAGAGGAAGAGACAAAAAGCCTAAAGCATTAAACGGCTTCAGTACAGGATTTTAACCCAGTGCATATATTGAAAACAGGGAGCTACATATCAGCAAATCTGCAATAACAATTTGAATGGCAGCTTTGTAATATGGACAAATGCCCATTTGAGGCTAAACTGACACTTGCAACAAATATGAGCTACAGCAGAAGCCTACTATGTTGTGCCAGTGAAAAAAATAAATCTATTAAAGAATTCTCAAATGCAAATTTATGTTGCAAACCATATTTTAAATTTACTATAATCTCATCCAAGCATAGTGAATAAAAGGAAAGAAAAGGTTGTCCATCTGGTACCTAAAAGAGAAATGCTTTAAAAACCAAGTGACTTATTAAAGTGTTTAATAAGTTTTCTACTAAGTATCTATATGTTTTTTCCCCAGTGGTGCTGATCAAGACTTGTGTTTTTCCCATAATGAAAATGTGCAGAGTTCAAGAGGAAAATTAAACAAAAAATGTTGAAACACATTCTAAGATGTTTCTAAACATACATTTAAATAAGTTTTGCCATTTTAAAAGAAATTATTTCAGCTTTTTTCTATTTTCTGTATTTTAATAATTTGATGTAGTCACCTCAGGTCTTTTTAAAGAGAAAAGTAATTACTAAAGTAATTTGATTATCATAATCTTCGTCTTCACATTTCTTAGCACTTTAATAAAATATTTTGTCTAGAATATTTCAAATACATCTTGGCATATCATACAGTCGTTTACTAAAGCCTACATACTATTGGTCTAGGGCTCCTGGGATACAAGCAGCCAAGCTCCCAGGGAGTGAGCGACCAGAGCAAGTAAACAGGAGGAGCACACAGGAGTTTGGCGGAGGAGTTGTAGTGAAAGAGGAGACAGAAGCAGGCAGAGGCAAAGCAGAGACAGGCCTGCACTAGCCCAGCCAAAAGTCAACTGAAGGGAAGTTCCAGCTTAGCTGGTTGCTGATTAACTGAAGGGGAGTGGCCTGCTCAGGTAGCAGCAGTTGTGGGTGGCGTGATTCATTCTGGCTCCTAGCAGAGCAGAATAGATCAGAGCAACCTGCCCCAGTTGGTCTAGGGCCTCTGGGACACACTCCCATTTACTGGCAGGACTATGTTGCTAACCTTTAGTGAAGACATTCAAAAGCACCAGTTGTCACAACAGCCCCCCAAGGCTGAATCACTAAGTTGCACAAACAATGGACCAAGGCGACTCCACAGTGGTAGTGGCTTGCAACAACTGCAACAGCTGCGTACTAGTAGCCCTAGTTCCAAGAAAAGGTGAGAGCACTGGAGCAGTGAGTGTTCACCCTCAAGAAAATAAAATGAAGAGACAGAGCAGAGGAGCTTCAACACCTAGTCCTGAAGCAAGAAGAGCATAAGCAAGCTGAGGGAGCAGAAGAGAACTCCAAAGGAAGGGAAAATGAGGAAACACACTGAAATAGGGTGGCAGATGCCGAAGACCTAGAAAACATGCTGCACCATTGGAAGCAGTGGAACTCTTGAACCAATTAAAGTTACTTGAGGAAGGGACGCGTGAGAAGCCCACTGTGGAAGAACTACACGACACACTGTGCAACTCTGAAAAAGTGACAAAAGGCCAATCAAGAAAGAAAAAGGATACCAAAGTTTGCAATACCAAAAGAAGAAGAGTGATAGTTGTGGGAGATTCCCTGTTGCATGAGATGGAAAAATATGTATTTCGTGACAACCCAGAAAATCGCCAAGTATGCTGTCTCCCTGGCACCAAGATTAAAGATAAAACCAACAAGTTCACGCAACTCATACAACCCACTGACAATTGCTCTTTCCTTCTCATCTATTGGGAACTATCAGGAGAAGCTTTGATAAAATAGCATCAGACTTCAAAGCTCTAGGGAGGAAAATCAAAAACACTGGAGCCCAGATAGTCTTCTCCTCAATCCTACCAGTATGTGGGAAAGGAACTGTTAGGGAAAGAAAAATCCTTACAAGTGAATGACTGGCTATGATGGTGGTGCCATAAAGAGAGATTTGGATTCTGTGACCACAAGCTGAGGTTCCTGGAAGATGGAACTGGCAAATGATGGGCTGCACCTCACAAAGAACGGGAAGCAGAAGTTTGACCACTACATGAAAATGTTCATCAGGAGGGCTTTAAACTAAAACATATAGGGGAGGAGTATCTGCAGCATGGCATACCATCGTCTGGCAAAGACTTATACATTTCACCAGAGAAAAACCTCAAGCAGGACCCAACACCAGTCTCCCAAAAGACACAGGAAGAAAAACCAGGGCACAGCAAGAATCAACTTTGGTGTGTCTACACAGTTCCCAGAGTATGGGAAACAAACAACACAAACTTGAGCTCATAGTACACAAGGGCAATTATAATCTTATAGGAATAACAGAAACTTGGTGGGATGACTCACCTGACTGGAACTCTACAATTGATGGATATAACCTGTTCAAGAACATAGTTGTAGTTGTAGTTGCAAAGTCTCGTCCAACCCATCATGACCCCATGGACAACATTCCATCAGGCTTTCCAGATGGAACATATAGGGGAGGAGGATCTGCAGCATGGCATACCATCGCCAGAGTCCACTTAAGCTCACACCGACTGCCTCAGTAACTCCATCTAGCCAGCCCCTTCCTCTGCCGTCCCCTTCTTCTTTTGCCATCTATTGTTCCCAGCATTAGGCTCTTCTCCAGTGAGTCCTTCCTTCTTATTAGGTGGCCAAAGTATTTGAGTTTCATCTTCAGCATCTGGCCTTCTAAAGAGCAGTCGGGGTTGATCTCCTCTAAGACTGGCTGGTTTGATCTCCTTGCAGTCCAAGGCACTTGCAGGAGTCTTCTTCAGCCCTTAAATCTATTTGTCACCTCTAATGTATATTCATCAGGAATATGATTTAGGTCATACCTGAGTGACCTTGTGCTTTTCCCTACTTTGTTCAATTTAAGCCTAAATTTTGCAACACAAGAAGCTCATGATCTGAGCCACAGTCAGCTCCTGGTCTAGCTTTTACGGACTGTATAGAGCTTCCCCATCTTTGGTTGCAGAGCACAGAGTCAATCTGATTTCT